TAAAGAATGTGTATATTCGTTTTGCAAGATACCCGGCATTGAATCGGCCTCGGGTACGATCTATAACAATCGTAATTAATGATAATTCGGCGTAATTCACGAGGGAGGAACCTCGGGGGAGGAACGTAAATTTTTTACCGATTCCAGACTAGTTATGATTGTTCTGCGATCATGACCTTCGGTTTGTGCGACCAATGAACGAAGGCTACGAGCCGTGACATGCGTGGAAAACGACAGTTATGTGAAATCGGAAATTCTTCTCACACGTAAACATGTTTTATGTACGTACATACGTCGAATATGAGACATGATCGAAGATTTCTTCTCTATCATTATAATATTAAAATATTCAATTTTACGAATGAAATGTGAATTTGGATAATATCGTCATAAATTCATACGGTCATATATTGAAGTGTAGAATAAAGTATAACAAGATCATCCATAAGGATTACGAAACGTGAGATGATTTTTATATTCGCTACCGTCTCTACCCAAAAGTATTGAAATGAGTTAACGTCAGCGTCGATTGCACGCCACTTTTTGCCACCGACGCGACTGGACAATGGTGGCCCCTCGTTAACGCAGCGGGGAGTATCAGCGGTTGGTATCAATTCTCGCGTAGGTTTCAGGAGCGATCCGCGATTTAATTAACCGGGACAACAGTCCCGCGGTCTCGCATCGCATCGTTCGCCGCTACTTCTAGCTTGCTCAGCCACAGCCTTCGTTCGCTTTTCAAACACGGCTGTATCATCTTTTAAACTGCTTATTATCCAATTATTCTTACCTTTGAATGCGGCTCTGCGAGCTGCCTTAATTAAACCTTTTGCGACGCACGAATAATAAAAGTTGTGAATTTAAAAAATCGTTTCGGTGTCTTTAGGCGCCGGTTTTAATGTCTCAATCATTATCATGTCTCTTGTCGCGCTTCCGTCTTAATTTAGTTGGATCGCTTTCTATCGAAATCATTGTTGAAATTATTAAAATATATAAATACTTTACGTGGTTCTAAATAAAACATCTCTTCCATTATAATGTAACATTTCACTTTGTCAAATTTTTTATAAATACTATTGCCAGTGATTGAATTCCGGTCCCGATTCTTTCACAAGGAACCTTCGAAAACCGGTCGTAATTGTAGAAATTGGATCGACTGTACGGCTGGTAATTATCAAAAATTCGTTGTGCATTATTAATCAGCCGGGAGCGGCGCGGTTCTCAAACGAACGGTCGCGATTAATTTCCTGTAACTGATCATTAATCTCCGAAATTCCGGTGACTATGTGGTCGCCTCGCGTCGGGGTTTACTAATTGTGCTCGCGTGATATGCGCAGCGCGCGCCTGTTTCTCAATTGATGGCCCGCGGCTGATGCTATCCCGGATTCCATCGATTTTTCTTCCGTTACCGGTGGTAATCCCAAATTCCAATTGCTACTAATTAATTTTAGGTTCGTACTAAAAAATCGAACAAATGGTGACCTCAATCGATGGGCTAACAAGTTGAGAATTTCCAAGTTCTATTGTAAAACGAGTTAGAAGTAATACTTTTAGAAATTCAAGTTCAATTGTATTAATTTTCAATAAAAATGGATGCTCTAACTACATAAGAATGACAGAGAATACGTGACTTAGTAGCGGTTGATAGTAATTAATAGAAACTTAGTAATGTTTCATCATAAAGATTAATTTAATTAATTAGCTCACGGAGGACTTAAAGAATCGGTTTACTGCCTTGTTAGGCACGCTTATCCGCGAACAGCGAGGCGCAGGTTAAACAAAGTAAGAGGATGATGACTCCAGCTCTAGCAGGTAGTTAAGGATTGCGTTGCATAATCGCATAGCACGCTGCTTGTTAATTACAACGGTTTACAATAGCAAATGTGTTTCGAGAATTACGCTATTGATACGATATAGCTGAATTGTTAGCTACTAACTATCTGTAACAAATTGTGCAACCCACCGAGGAATTTACATATAAGGAAGTTTACAAATAGAGTTGTACACACTGTTCTTTACGTAAATGTCAATTATTTAAACAATCGTTTATACGATTTGTTATAAGAATAAAAGATAATTCTGCTGAGAATGAGACGCTATGCTCCGTTCACTCGCGGATTTAATGCAATGATTTATATTCTGCCGATACGCACGCAGGGAAAGTGAACGCAATGTACAAAATTCGTGAAACTCTCGTGTTTCTCAAAACACGTGAAAAGAATATTTTACCGTATTTCATTCCTTCCCCGTGAAATTTATAGGAATGCATTACTCCAATTATATAATATTCGTAATTACTCTTAGTCTTATACACATTTCGTTGATTCTATTCAAATAATATATACAGGATTAAATTAAAGTAAAATTAAAACAATAACAAGTAATGGGATATTAAAACGTTGATGAAATTGATGCCACGGTTTAACCTTTGCTCGTTGATTCATCAAATTAATTTCAACTTTTCAAGAACAAAGTCTTATCTCCGGCAGCTCTTCCATTGCATAAGACAAAGCGTAATATCCCTAAGGAAACCGCGGCGACTTAACATTCCGCGCTTGCATAACAAAAACAGCGTTCACCAGCTACATGCATATACATACATATACATATCGCATATGCATTCGCACGTGAATAGAAGCGGTGCAGAGGCGTTCGCTCGCAGCGAGAGTGCGACCCGTTAAGTATAGCAATCACCGGCTGGCTAGATAACGCCTGGTATCCTTGACTCATGCGTGTGCACACACGCCGTGTGTGAATGTCACCAGGCACGCATCGGTTTTACCAGAACCAAAACTAAAACATGGTCTCCAACAATCGTAAAGTTCCGAGCCTGATAACGAGTAGTTATATACATATATACTTTCTTCCCTATAATAAATTGCATAGATATTCCTTTAAACAAGTACAAATACTTGTACGTAAGATTATATCAATATTTTCTAAGCTGTTAATTCATTGATTTGTCAATTATTTGATTAATTATTGAAACTAACTTAAAAATTTTGAGATTTAAATGATAGGGAAAACGTGACAAGTTGATCGAAGAAGTAAAAAGAGTTACTGCAATAATTGTACTACTGCACGCCGATTGCCTCGATGCTAAAAGGAAGGTGTTCAATTAAGATGAGACGAAGTAGATAAAATCTTAAGAGAGGCGAGAGAATGCGTGAAGTAGTTTGTCGAAACTTGTCCGCATCCTGGGATGCGTGAAGGTTAATGTTAACGGGTTCGTGATAATGACTTTTTGAGCGATCGCTGTGCACGTTGGGCTGGATTGTGCCCTGGTTTGATTGGTACCGCGGTTGGGATCGGTTAACGTTGCTTATCGTGAGATAGGTTACGGTCGTTTCGCGAAGCATGCTGAGATGTCCAAGATATAAGTAAATCGTTGGATGAGTAAAAGTTAATTTTGCAGCTGTAAAATATGAGACAGATGCATTACTGCAATAATTCTGTATAATGTACGGTCGATGTACGATAAGTTAAAGTATGATCGAGCCATCTTTTCATTCGGAGTTCGATCATCGAATAATCTTACGCGCGAGGAAATCGTAGAATGATTCTGAGTTTCATTGTTTCACACGTAAATATTCAGGTCCAACCTCAGAATGATTTATGATCATTAAATTCAACAATAGGTACACTATCTTACGGTGAAAGTTCATTGCAATAAGAATGTCTGCAAATGGTTGAATTAACTGTTTCAACAGGTGTAATTTTCATGCCATTAATTTTGTTATAGAACAGATTTACTATCCTAGCCCACAATAGAATCATTCGAGCGATGCTTTCATTTAATTCCAATCGTTCATCCAATTACGATTGCGCATCGAAGATTAAATAAACAAATTAAAGAATTGAAATGTTGGTGAACTTTCAGTGAGGAAATGTCACGTTTTTCGTGTTGAGAGTGTTTCAGAAAGCGTATTATGATTTGCTCGCAACAAAGGTTGACGTTGGCGAATTCGTGACATTTAAGCCTGTGCAAACTTTTGATGTTCCTGGCTATTTCGTGGGACGGGAAAATTGTAATAATCTTAGGCTAACATTAATGAACCATACAGAAGAATCTTATAATAATTGTATTATTCGTAAGGAATATAAAAATTCATTGTCAGGCGAGAGGAAAATGGTTACAGGTCAACGAATCATGATTAAAATTACACAGAACGAAATTGTCTAATAAGGCACACGATCAGCTTTGAATTCCACCGGGTTCACCGTGAATGTTACTCCTGCTGAACACACAGAGTTTAGAGACGTTACACAGCAATGCATCTTGAAAGTTTATAACAGATGTATATTCATATTTATTAGGTTCGTGCATGTGAGACGTTCCTAATCTTTGAACTTTCCTGTCGAAAATCATTTCGGTATGAATTAAGGTGACTGATAAACTATCTGAATAAAGTATCTAGCTAGCACAGAAAACTGTTGCCGAGTGAAAAACAAGACGATGTTCCATATGCACCGACCTAATGCAGCAAGTGACTGAACGAGTCGTGCAGCTCTTAAAGTAACTCACGTCGGAGGCATGTAAACAAAAGCATCGCGAGTTCGCCGAGTGATTTAAGGCCGCGAACAGCGTGTCTCTTAAATTTAGCAGAAAAAAGCTTTTGCTCCGTGCATGTTCGTGTGTACACGACGCGTTACGAATTCGTATTACGCTCGTTCGTAAACAGCGAAGCACCTAAACTTCGAAACACGCGCATTCTGTTGCACGGAACCAGGCATAAAAAGTGAAAGTACGGAACGTGGCTTGCACTATCTTATCAAATCTATTGAAACGAGCGTGTAACGCACGTGCTTCACGAAATTGATCGCGGGGTCATAATATATCTCTGCTTCACTTTACGTAAAGCGTCGTGCTTTTCATCCGAGATAATTGACTAAAATGTGTTTGATTGAAAAAATAGTGATCTGTTATCCATCGAAGCAGCAATAGTAAGAATTGTATTAGAGAAACAAGGGAAAATAATTGAATTGATATAAAAAATACTCACCAGCAGAAAAAGTACCGTGCTCGTGGCGGTCGCTTCGAAGGATATTCCGCACGCCATTTCTCGTGATCGAACGCACCAGCAGCCCCTCCTCCTCTACCAGACCATCCTGAGTAATCGTCAGCGAGGCATGCGGCCCTCGGCTTCGTCGTTCGATTAACCTCGAATCACTTTTCCACCACAAAAACCACCACGATATCCGAAGCAGCGGCCTCCGTTACCTCCGCTCGAAACGCGAGGATCAACGATCGCTGTGCTTCGCGCGATCGAGCTTCTCACGGATCATGCGACACGAATTGCAGCTGACGTTCCACCAGAGTGGACGGAGATCGGGAATCGGGTACCGTGTCTACGGCCACAGTGTTGGCAAAGATCGCGTTCAGGTCCCTCGACTGCGTTTCGATCCGGCGATTTTAATGACAAAACTCGCGGGCTCGCAAGATGGGCAACGACGCGGCTTTGTCGGGCCGTGGTCGTTCTCAGTCGAAGTGGAATCCCGCAAGCTTGTTAAAAGGTGACAACGATTGGCACGGTCCTAACCGTAGCACAGGGCTCGGGCAACTGACAGCGGGTCAGAGCCACGGTACACGGCGCCACGCCGCTCTCACAGCTGATCCGAGGGACCCGATCGCCTCTCTACCCTCTCTCTAACACGCGATTCTCAACCTCCCGTGTATCACTCTCTTTCTCCCTACGATTTACCTTGCCAGTACCGGAACGTCAAGAGACACGGCTGACGAATCGAACTCCCCCTACTCGACGTCACCCTTGCCTGCCTACCTGTCATTGTTGCATCAAACGAGTCTAAGAAACTTTTCTGGACCCTCGGCAACGGCCACATTCCTTTCGAATTACATTTCGTTACAATAATGACGCACAAGCTATCTGACTTCAAGAAAAGTACTTCTACGTGCGTCCCTTTGTTGTTCTAATTTATATATTATTAATATAAGGGTTTGTCAAACCCATTTGTTTATGGTAAATAAAAAAATATAATACTATTGTAGGTGAAGTCATGAATAATTCATTTGGAGAAAAGAGTAATGATGGCCAAAATTGTTATAGGAACATTATATTTATTATTACGTGATGTTTTTTATTAGAATAATATTAATAAAACTTTGTTAGTCTTCAATATATTATTAGAAATATTATATAACAGACATGTAGAACAATTTACTAATCGATGTGTACAATTACTTGTGCAATTGAAATAGTACGCCGAATTTTTCAATCATCAGATTTGATTATCCGGCTGAACAGACACAGAATGGACGATTAGCGAAATGAATCGAGAAAAAAATGAAATCAGGTATGGGACCGGTTTGGTAAATGCGTTTGCGCGCTCATGCACTCATTAACTGTCACATTCTTCTTTAAAATTTTTATACATGCTTTCGTACTCGCACGATGATTACTCGTAGGTTGAAATGCGCATTGCTCGTTGTCGTAGGTTGCCAGGTAAGTATTAGGGTGAACGCGCAGCGGGCAGATCGCGATCGCAATGTAGCGGACTGAAATTTGACCGTACTGGGAACACTGCACGAATGCAGACCAGCAAAGAGAGAAGAAACCACACGCAACCGACGACCAAATGAACGTGTGAGGCCTATTATTGGTTTGTCAATTCCAAGTAGGAATATGATTAAATTATAGAGATACGAAAAAGGTTTCAAATACTGAGAGAAAGCATTGAGGTGGAATGCGTAAATTTTTGATCCTCTGTATTTACTGGTAACCCCTTGCAATTCGAGTTAATTTGCAGTTGATTCGTTATTTACGTGATAAAATGGTAAGTTTTCGGTCAAATTACCGTCGCGAATTTCCATAACGTATCATTATTACTCATTCGGCCTAAAACGACCCCTTTTTTTTTTACTGTCCGCACAAAGGATGCCTTTGGGACATTCCACTAAATTATACTCGTGCGTTTATATACATCATGACAAGACTTGCCTCTCGTCGAATATTTGATCTCGATAAAATCATTCTTCACTGAACATATAATATACAGACATATAAATAATAAAATTATTTATTTTCGCTTATGAGATTTATATCCCTTGATTAATATTTTATAAACGAGATAGCCATCAGAAAAAGATCTGGATAAGCCACGGTTGTTCTGATTCCATCGTCCACTGTTTCAACTTCAAATCATCGATTCAAACGTTGAGACTTAATAATACCGTTACATCCGTTTGCTACATTATGCAGCCAGGAAGAATGTTCGGAATTCATTAATCGAATTATAATCATGAATTTCGTCGATGCCCGCGAGGCCCGAACGTGTCTACAGACGAATCATTGAAATCTCCGTCGAGTTCGGGGCGTGCGCAGGAGCACGCGTTCTCATCTGACGCTGCCTCGGATTTCGATACGTGGTGGTCGCGAGCGAATTCGAGAGTCGGGAACTACGCGACGCGACGCATGCACGGTGCCTCTCTCATCGCGTCGCGATGTGACGTGGAAAAACTGGCGAGATCCTTGCGCTCTTAACTTGACAAGGCCGCCCCGGCAAGGTCGGTTATTCATCCGAGTCGGTTGCACAAGGACTTCATTAAATCGCTTTGTATTCCCCAATAGTCATCGGGTCTATCGTAACGCGGCGGGTGAAACACCAAAACGGTACCGTGGCCGCGATTCAGCGAATTTCTGATGTTACCTGCGATCGCGCAACGGATTCCGTTCGTTGAAACAGAACATCTACTTTATTTCATTATTCTAAAGTCTAGCCTGCTTTTTTTTTTTAAATAAAAAATAGATTCAATCGTGTTAATATTTTATTGCACTTTAACGAGTTTTAATTACTTTATTGCACTTTTACTTAACTTCAGAAGCGGCTCGAGGAACACGTCGATGCATTTTTACAGAAAAAAGTAGGACAGAAGTATTTTTTTAAGTCGGAGAGTTTGTAGATAGTTTTGTCGTACTTCTTTTGTAAAATTGTTCCCCGACGGTGTTTTACGACGTCGAAACCAGTTTTCGGCGAAGTTTTACGAGCATTTCTTCTCTTCTTCGCGAAATCAATTTCGTTGAAGTTTTACGTCCCGCACGTTGCATCACGCGGGGTAGAAATGCTCTGGCTGCCTACCGACACCCGGCAACCCTATAAACATCCGTTTTATTGAATTCCAAGAAACTGTCGAGGATAAGAGACGAGGCGAACACAGTTTGAACCGAGTTACATGATAAATCGTTTGACTTTATTTCATTTACCGCAGCTACGAGCGACTTTAACTTCATTTAAAAGGATTTGCTCATTCTTGAACCATTTCGAGTTTCATGATGCGGATCGTGAACTACTTTATTTTTACTTAAAAATACATTGTAAGCTCAGATTTCTGAAAATGAATGTTGAACGTCACCCAGTAAACCGAGTCGTTCTACGTTATAAAGTTCCTCGAATTCCGTTTTAATATCATTGAACTTAAGTGAATTCCCGTAGTCAATGTGTCGTCATCCTCTCGCAATCGAACTCGTCTACGTCCTTCCACTTTTATTTCATTGATGACTCAAATTTTAACGGAAGGAGTACGAGATTAACCCATTAAAATTTCAGCAGCTCATACCGGAGGCATCTTCCGCTCGCGCGTACTGTAATTAAGTGATCGCGATCGGGTCTAATAAAGACACGACGAGTAGAGAAACGTTGCGGAGGACGCACGTTGAAAAAATTCGGTCGGCCGCCTCGCGGCTGCAGTTTATCGTAAAAGATTATACGAAAAGACGGACGTTAAGGGCACGTGGGCGGTACTTATAGAAGGCGGAGTGGTCGTAGCATTTTTGTCGAACGCTCTCCGCGACAGTTCTCGCGCTGAGACCTTGGGCCCCGTGGTAGGTAACGATCGCTATCCGCCTAATTAATGAGCTTTCAAAAAACCGAGTGAAGGCCGCAAGCTCGCGAAACCGACGCGTATTTGGAACAAAGTTCGCCCATTTCATTACTATTTATGATTAATCGGTCACGTTAGTTACTAACAGTCACGTTCGACAATAGTTCGAAGTCAGATAGTATTATCGTACAACATTTAAATTGTGATACACGTGTTAACCTCGGATAAAGAGACGCGATTAAAAATAATTCGAAGGATACGATCTGTTTGAGGTACTGTCACGCTACCATAAAATACAAGTTATATTAAAATTCCTTTGAGTAATATATTGAACTGGTTCATAAATAAATGCTGACCGACGTGATCGCGAAAGTTAACGCGGAGCGGTCGAAGCGTCAAGGGTTGAAGGTGACAACACGATCATTTTATTATACTCCGCGACCGGTAAGAAAAAAGAGACGCTTGGCAATTTATCAGCGTCGAGATTTCCTTTCGATTCCATTCCGATGGCGAACTAGGTTCGACCATTGTTACTATCGATTAACGTCATTTAACCGCCTGGTAACGTGATACTTTCTTTGCTACATTATCGTGCGGCAACGAAAATTTAATCGGATGTGAATATCACGGTCACAGGTTTAGCGCGTAAACGAGGTGAACTAGTGCCGCGGAAAGGAAAAAAACTCGATGGCGAGCGGAGATCGTTACTATGCTTGATTTGTCGGCGAGGGCGTGACCGGAAGGTATTAAGTTGGTGCATATCAAACGTCGTTTTATTTCTCGTGTCTGAATTTTGCGCTCGATAAACATCTGTCATGTTTCGTCTCATCGTCTACAGTGGATCAAGTTGAAGAATACCTTAGCGGCGACAGGATTTGAAGCCGCACTCGAATTTCATGGGTTAATGCAATTATTTGTGAAACTATGAAAGTAACAAATAATGTATACCTTTTACATGGCATTCCTTTACACGATTTTTAAGTTACTCCATTAATACAATTTATCCAGAATTGCATTTAAATTCTAGAAACTTATGACTCTCATGAAAATAAAATAATAATGACGAAGATATTTTCTTGTCTGCAAGTTTCATTGAAGAAGAATTACGTAAAAGGAGAGTCATGATTTGAATCAAATATAGGAACTATTTACTGAATTTGTCTGGATACTTTGAATACCAACGTAATAAATCATTTTTTGTCAGAACGATTGGGTTGGCTACTCAATACACTTTTTCGACGAAGAATTTCTGTCCAAGTGCGGAAGACGCATACTCGTTTTTCGCATCGCATCGGGGCCCGCTATGCGACGTCCACGCGAAAGGTATACATCGTGGCCGGGCCTCGATCGCGGCGCTAAATTTTCCCTTTATCTGCATTGCTCGGATGCCAGTCGCCGTCGCCCGTTGCCGGCCTCTCTCGGCGCGTTTGCTTGCTGGAATCCCGTCGGCTTTATATTGAAGATCGGGTCCCGCGCGACCTAGGCATATCTTGAGGCATTGTTCCCTTCGAACCGCGGCATTGTTTCGTCCCCGGCCGTGGGGTGGACACTCGACAGGACCCGACACCTGGATGCGTACACTATCCGCCATAAGTATCCGGTCATTTTGAAAATTTCAACAAAACTCATGTATTTTCCATCAGAATCTTCACTCGTCGCAAAATTAAACAGTGTCACAATTATTGGGTTGACAAGAAATTTCAGTTTTTATAAAGCTATATATTTGTGAAAACCGAAATTGCCTTCTTGGCAGTTCAGAACTCATCTATAATTGGCACACGATTTGTTCATTTTTTGGGAAACTGGTTTAGTATAAAAAACTAGGATTGATATATTTTGTAAAAAAAAGCGCAAGTGGTCGAAAAAAGTAAAGGTCACTTTTCATAGGTTCTTTATTTAGAATTATAATTGAAATATTTTGATATATCCATTTATCTTTCTTTAACTGTTAAAATATACTTGTAGCCAGTAGTGTATTTGTCTCTGGGCGAGGGTCGCGGGCACGCGGCCATCCCTTGGGAACAAAAAAGTCGCCCTTCTTCGCGCGCGTGCACGGATAGCATCTCGACTTTTGTTAACCCGCGCCGCATTGCACTTTCCGATATAATGAATGCATTACACCGCGCTATCAGCCGGCAATAAATTGTGCACACCGGTGCACTCGACGAAGGTACCGACACGCCGCGTCGCGAATATTACAGGTTCTCTACCATGTATCGAAGATAAAGCTTCGATTAAGATTAAGTATTAAGGACACGTGCAATACCGCTCTCGTTTTTCAAGAAAAAAGATAACTTTCGTTGCAGGATTAATTTCTTGCTATGATTTGTTAATTACATTCGATCCGGATTTTTAAGAATCAACTACGATACATTTTTATAATTTTCTTTTACCTTTAACACTAACTCGTTTGCTCGCCTTTGTGAGTGTATGATTTGTCGGGTCGCCAGGGAGGCAGTTTCTTGATGGAATCGACTTAATTTCCCAGTTGGGCATTAAAGCCGAGTGACGAACAGGCTTGTTTGTCGTTGATAGGATGAATGAGGGTAATTTAGTTGATGAATGGGGACTGTTGTATTAATTGATGGCGCAGGTTATTATATTTGGCATGTTTTCTCAAGATCGGTTATTTGATAAGTCGTACGCAGGAAAGAACTCAAAGTACTTTGCAATTATTCCTAATTATTGTACCAGAAATAGTTTACATTAAGATATTTCTATTTAAAGAAGTTACGAACACTTGGAACATTTCCTACAAAATATATTTCCACAAAAATGTAATCCTATGAGGTAACGCAATCGTGAGTTTTAAAATTTGACGCTTTGCAATATCGGTCTGACATCGATTCTAAAAAATATTGACGCAGATTTCATTTGACGTGTAAATGTTATGTAAAGATTGCAAATACAGTTTCAGATATTGTTTTATACATATAAAGATTATTTTATAAGTTAAATACAGTATCAAAATACGAATATATTGTTTGAAAAAAATAAGCTCTAATATACTATAGAAAGCAATTTATATACTGGTTCGTATGTTTGATTAATAATGTTCCTTTATAACACGAATTTGAAGTCACTAAATCCTTTCCCTTGTTTCCCCGTCGTTAAAAGAAAGAAAAAAGATCCGGCCCTCGACTCTCAAGCGCGTTCCTGTTAATCGCGTGTACGATGTAATTGCATTCTTTAATGAACGCAACAAGTTCTTGATTCACTGGATCCGCGTGCGTCCAACAGGAATTATAGACTCCGCTCGTTTACAGTATTGTTTCGGTTTCCATGCATCCGGGAGAGACTCCATGCGAGATACATTCGATAGTTGCATTTAATCTCCCTAAAAGCTGAAGACAGTGAATCAGTTTTTTATTTTACTCGTGAGAAAAAAATTATTTGAATTATTTAAACTCTTTTGTTTATTTTGTCTGCTATTAAATGAAATTAAATTAAATATAATAATCCGAATATATTCTAACTTATAAGCGTTCATTTTTGGCCACTACTTTTTTAAAGGATTATCCGTGTGAAAGAACAGGATTTATGATGATAGCAGAAAATTCTGCTGTTAAAGGAATCCGAAATTTTATGGGTTGCTTGAATAACTCCGATCGCAAGAGGAATTGGTTCCCCCCTTGCACTCTTGTCGATGCGACATAAAAGTCAGAAGACTTGATTTAGAAGCTAATCTTTATGCACGTTTTAGGAAATGTAGAATCATTCGTTCTCCATTTCCTGTTTCTCTCTTTATATTTTATGTCTTGCTACTGTTTGCAATCTTCTTTTATCTCCTTTGTCTTTTGGGTATTCGATCTATATTCCAATTAGAATCATTACCTGTAATTGTATTATTACTTAAATTACTTTAAAGGAAAAAGTAATTATAAGAGTAAATAAGATTAAACATTTTGCAAATGAATTTAAAACACGAGGAACAGAATTATACACTTCCACTTATCATCTTTAGAAAAATTAATTTCCATGCAAGTAATCTTACAAACAGCTCGCAATTAATCATCGCAATTGCAACTGATACAACCACTCCGAATCATTTTACCTCTCGTTGTATGACACAGCGAAAGAGTTTGTAGAAATCCTGATGAAGGCATGCGAACATTTCGAGTACGTATTCGAGAAAGTCTTAATCACTTCGATGTGCATCCGTTACACCTGGCAAAAAACGAAACGAGTTTATCAGCAACGTTTATCCTGCTGCCTTGTGACAACCGACGGCAACATTGTGGGTCTTGGCTTCAACCGAAACGTCTGCACGTCATAAATCTCAACAAGGTGGCACCGACTCCGGAACTTTATCATCACTTCTTCGGCTCTGCTCTGTTGATCGGAATGAAAAATCGTTGAATGACTTATCCAATTTGAAACGAAAACCTTATGAAATTCGAAATTATTTTAAATTGGATTTGCAATTTCGGAGATGTTTGAAATGAGCAACCCGTGTTTGAGTAATTTAATCGATTTACAATTTAAATTTGAAATTTGTTCTTGAAATTACAAAGATATTGTCATTCATTAAAAAATTGTATTAATAGAAACGAAATTGTTTTAAAATAACATTTCTTAGAATAATTACGAAGCTTAATACGGGCTACATTAAGAATGTGAATTTAAATCAAGTGTTTGTATTAATTTATAATTAATGCTTGTCTTAAAAGGCCGACTCATGTTGCTAAAGTAAATTGACTTTTCAGATTTAATGATATAATTAATTATCATATATGTCTTATCTTTTAACAGTCCCCCATAAATGTACTGGATGTGGATTACATTTAACGTAACTGTACGTATGTCCATGTTTTACTAAAAAATATGTGAGAGTCAAGGCCACGAAGTGCAAAAAAATCGTACTAAAGTCATGGTCACGTTGAGAAAGTCGATGTTGTACACGTTAATGGATTCGATACCAGGAAGAGCGTGTCTCATTAGGAAGATGATTGTAGCCTCATCCTCTGAATCATCGAGTCATAGCCTACCGCAATATTCGAAGTTCGGGATGAATTATAATTATACCATGCGAATCGAATTTGTATAGAAGAGAAAGTGTCATTGACAAATTGCTGAATTTCATTCACATCGATAGACTCGCAGACGATGAATATTTCTTATTTAGAATATTTCATCATTAATATCTACTATCTGAAATATTCCATTATTTTGAAACGTTATAATTTTCCAACTGCTTCTCTCAGCTGCTATAAAGTACTGTTTCCTTACGATTGAATCAGATATAATATAAATAGACTAAGAACCGGTGCAACCGGGGTTCATATAAATCATTTCGAATTCATAATGATCGTCGACTTCACGTGATCACTAAACCGGACAATAATGTCATTGAAAACGAACAGAAATAAAATTGATAATGAAGATAACGTTGACGGAACTTCATTCATTTTTTGTTCAGAGAATGTCGATCTCAATCAACAGTTTTTTTACACTTCCCTTTTGTGCTGAGCTTATGCAATTTTTTTATATACATTGTGCACAGTTCCGTTTCACCTGCATTTTAATGATTGTTCACTTAAATGCGTGCAACGTGTGTATCACTGAATCATTTTTAATTAATTTGTAATCATTGATTCACTGAGTTGTATCGGCAATGTTAATTCGTCATAAATTTTCATTCAGTTAGGTGAATCCAACAGAATCGGTCTGAACGTAATAGCTAACTGTACAGAACCGATTTCATCACTTTTCTGATTCACATTCCATTTTTTGCCGTGATCGAACTGCGAGAGTTGAAGGATGTAGAAGGTCGTTACAGGTTAATTCGTTTGGTTGGTTAATGTAAATCGGAGTCATAGAAATTGCGTTAGATTGCGTGACGTACGTAAGAAATTCCGTTTCAGGTCATCGGAAACGTTGACGTCACAAGGACGCGAACAAGTGAAAAAAGTCGGCGAAAATCCGCATCGATTAAGTCGTGAATTCGTATTTCCGACTCGATTGCGTGTCCTTATAACGCTATCTGGAAATTTAGCGCAATGCATCGTTTAAATTGAGAGGAGAAATGAAATTAAGACTTGCGCTATCTACACTACATTATACTATACGCAAGTGCTCTGTGTGCACATAATTGGCCGGGACTAATTAAGATAGACCATGTTCGATATTGAAAACTATTTAGATGGCGTCAGCTCGCCGGATCTGCATAAAATTGGATTTAAATATAACGTACGTAGATAGGCGTACTTTTCATAAAATAAAATTTTTTCCCTTTCCTTAAATAATCAAATCCAATTCTTTCAAGTCCAATAAACAATGGCTTATCAATAATTTAAAATAAACTATCTATTCGTGAGCTCGTTTTGTAATCATTGATTTTTCTTTTAATTTGTCATACTACAATTGAGAAATTGTAATTAAAAGCAAACGTGAGAAGGAGAAGCAATGAAATTAACGAAGGTGAATTATTTATTTGTTTTTCATTGAAATAAAACTTCGTTCATAAACAATAACAGCCTTTACCTAGAAACGTGAGATGATACATCGTGGTAGCTACAACGTTACGGAAGAGGTATCAAAATCATTTCCCGAGGATAGAAAATACAGTGTAATAGGGTTGTTGAAACGAGTTGTTGAATATTTTGGCGCGACGTCGCATCATCATGCCGATCTAAATACATAATATTTCATGACACGTTATTTCGTTTTTTAAATTCGTCTCACTGCGACGCGACAGGACAGGGTAGCCGGTGGCAGTTACACATTACGGTGGCAGTTATACATAATTAGCTAAACTTTTTTTCTTCTTTATCCTATTTACACGAATAACATACGATTGATATTTAATGTGTCAACAGAAAACGTTTTTCGCTTTTTCCTCTCGTCGCACTTAATGATTTAAAAAATTTACAAACAATTTGCCCTCTCCATTTTTGATACAGTCACATGCATATACGGTGAATAACGGATGTTCATCGTTGTTATCTCAGATTGCACAGCAATAGCATGATCGCCGCGTTTATCAATAACCATCCTTCGAAATGTTTCGTTGCACCTCCTGAAAATAGTCAGGTATTACAATACAGATGATTCTACGTATTTTATTATATATGATTGACATGTATGATAGTAAGATATTAAAAATTCGTATTGGATTGTTTGTGAACGTACCGATGTAAGAAGATTCTCGTGTTCCTAATACAGATGCCAAACGCGGACGTTCCTCAACCAAATGGGCTACGGCTTGCGTTTTGTACAAGTGAAAGACGTTAGCGTGGCAAATAATATGCAGCTGTCCATTGTTAAAGTGATCTTGCGTAGTTTCAAACTCTAGGCTTGCGATGGTCATTAGATGTTGATTGTCGCCCAACTTATCCGTCACGTTCGCTATAGAACTTGAGTTTACCTNTCGGATGCTGAATGGTAAATTCAAACTTTCGAAGTCATTTATTCTGATATTAAATAATATCAACTAATAAGTGATACTCGTTATGTATTTTTTTAAGGAAAGGAACATCAGATAAAAATTTGTTGTTTAAATTATATTTGCAATATTA